CAAATGAGAATCTTTGAGATGTGAAATCCTAAAGTTCATCGGATGTGAATCTTTGAACCAGAATGAAAAGTTTTAAACTTTTGGATGTGAATCTTCAAAATTTGAATGAGAATCTATAAATGTTAGATGCAAGTCTTGCAATTTACAAATCTTAAGATCTTGCAAATTTGAATTCTTGTGAAACTGAAATTTTGAAAATCAAATTTTAGTAAATTCTTGCGAAGCTGAAAGGTTCTTGCGAATCTGAACCTTTGAATTTCAAACTCAAATTGTGAATCTTTGAGTTTTCATTACAAATTTCATCAGATTTGATCTACATTCCTCTGAACATGATTGTCGATAAGCATTTATATTCGAAAAGTTATGGTACCTCTGTTTAGAGGAGCAATTTATTTTTTTAAAAGTTATGGTGCCTCTGTTTAGAGTAGCATTTATTTTGTTCTCAAAGTTGTTAAGCCTTTTTAGAAGAGCTTTGTTTAATTTTAAACAAAAAATGAAAAAAAAAATAAAAACAAAATAAAAAGAAAAACAAAAAAATAAAAGTAAGAGAAGTGTCAAGTTGAGTCTTGATTGGGTGTTTACGTCTTTACATAATTCCTGTTTCACAGAATATATGCAAAGAAAGGCAGTTGTAGACACTTTAATTAGTCCGAGTCCAAGCCCATTGGGCCTGATCTAAAGGGTCTGGGCCTAAGCCCAATGGATCTGGCTCAATGAGACGTAAAAGTCGGGCCCAACTGTTATTTTTTTTATAGGCTTTATTTTATTTTATTTTTAATTTTTTTATCATTTTAGTTAATGATAGGATAATAAAAAAAATAAAATTCTGTTGTGTTTGGGGGTGCTGGTACAGTTATAATTTATGTTAATTTCCTTAAGTTCAAAGATAAGGCAGAAATCCAATCAAAGGTGGGACTTAGAGTTAATTAGGAATTCTCCTAATTCAGCCTATAAATGCTCATACCGATCAAAGGTATGAACACAAGAGACAAAAAAAACACAAAAACAGAAAAAAAAAAATCACAAGCAGAAAATAATTAGAAAGTTTTTTGAAGATTTTTGGGTTTAAGGGAAAAAAGGTATTTTTTTGGAAAAATCTGGAAAATCCTAGATTTTTGGAAAATTTTTAAAAAAATTTTAGTTTTCGGTTAATTTTTCAGCAAGTTTTTCTATGGGGTTAAATTTTTCGATGGGATTCGCAAAATTCGGTAGAAGATTTCGGCACTGGTTGAATTTTTCGGCCACCGTCCAACAACCCAACCTAGATTTTGACAAAATTTTTAGAATTCGGTGAAGGATTCAACCAGAATTCATTCGAGTAGAGAGAGAGGGAGAGAAAAGAAGGAGGAAGGAGAAATATGAAGCAAGGCTGAAACTTGGGTTTTTATAACTTCCTCAAACAACGTCGTTTTAGTGTTTAAAAGAGTCCAAATTCGCGCGTTTCCACCTAGGGTGACCTAACCCGTAGTGCGACCCACTTCAACCCATTCCGCAAACCTTACTGCTGAGCCTAGTGGATTTTCCTTTTGAGTCACGTTTTGAGCTGTTTCTGTGTCTCAAGCATAGCTGAATTCCAGCAGTAAGCCGAGCCGATTCATTTTTCTTTTGTATTTTTTATGTGTTTATTATTTCTAGATTTTTTTTGCATGATTAAATTTAGAAAAAAAAAAAATTTGGGAATAGATATTAATTGTCCAATGATGAAATTTATAGAAATTTTAAAAGGTAAATTTCTATAAAATTCTAGGTGAAAATTTTGTCTAAATTTATTTCAAATGGCGAAATAATTTAGATAAAATTTTAATAACAATAATTAATATTTATTTTTCAAACAAAAAAATATAAAAAATAAAAAATAAAAATTTAGGTTGAAAATACTTGATAATTATCCAATGATGAGATTTTTAGAAATTTTAAATGATAAATTTTTAATAAATCTCTAGGTGAAAAAGTTTCTTTAAATTTGTCCCAAATGATGGAATAATTTAAATGAAATTTTAATAAAAATAATTGTCATATTATTTTCTTTTAAAAAAAAATAAAATTTTTTTTAAATAGACCAAAATGATGAAAAATTTAGAAATTTCGAAAAAAAAATTTCTATATTGACCAAAATGGTAGAAAATTTAGAGATAAAAAAAAATAAAAAAAAATCTCTAAATAGGTCCAAATGGTGAAAAATTTAGAAATTAAAAAAAATATTTTTAATTTGACCTAAATGGTATAATAATTAGATATATTTTCGAGAAAAAATAATAAATAAATATTTTTTTGACGATGGAGTCTATTCAAGATATTAAATGTGATTCTTAAACACTATTGAGGTGAGAATGTATTTTTTTAAAAGTTTTATCAGATTGATAAAGAATCTTAAAAGTTATTTTCAATATTTAACATAAAATTTGAAACCATTAGATTCAAGACCTTATGATAAATTTGAAATAATATGGTACCATCATTTGGATGAGCATGTGGGGGTGCTGTAACCTTCCTCATATGTAATTAAACTCCCGAACGCTGTTTTAGTTTGTAAACCCGAACCTATTCTTTTAGAGATCCTTAGTCAAGCTTAGGAGCTTCTTAAGAGGATAAATTTATAAGATGATCAATCACACCTAGTAAAAAAGATTGGTAGTGACTCTATTTGTTAAGTTTAACTATAGATTTATGGATCTATATGTTATGACAAATATTATTTAATCTAATTTTATTCATAATATAATCTTTTTTTATCTTATTATAATCTTGTATATAAAATATATCCTATAATTATTATAACATATTTAATCAATCATAATTCAAAATTATACGAGATTTTTCAAAATTTCATATGAAACCTATATTTATAAATGATAAATTTTTACATAATTCTTTAATGTTGTTGGATAATTATAATTGTAATAAAAAATTATAAATAAAATACTCTTCAAATTAATTTACTCATTTTTTTATTTTTCTTTTTATTTCATTCTTTTTTTTTTTTGTTTTTTCTCTTGCCAAACACGTCGCTTTTAATATCTTTTCTTGCACAGAGTAAGAGAGAAAATAAATCACAACTAATTTTTTATTAAAATTAAGAGATCAAAAAAATAAAATAAAATTATATATGCACAAAAGAAAGAAGAAAGAAAAAAAAGAAGAGACTAATTAAGATATATGTATAATATAATATAATATGTATCCAAAAAAAGGGCATTTGTATAATTATATTTATAAATGATAATTCTTTTCTACATTCAAAAATAAGTGTTAAATTCAAAATTCCTCTCCTCCAATTTAGTTTATATGCAGTAGTTGTACATGAGAGGAGGTTTAAAAGAAGGATATGTTTGGTGTTTTTGCAATATATATATGTTTATATATATATATATATGCATATATGTTTAATATTGTTTCTATATAGACGTCATTACGATTTTGTTCGGTGACTCGACTGTTAGGTGATTTAAAAAAAATATAAAGAGATATTATCAATTTTTTTTAGTTAGGTGTAATTGTTACATAAGAAGATTTTTTTAATAAAATTTTAAATTTAATTAAAACTTATTAAAAAAATTTTTGTTTATAAAAAATAAAATTAGGTTTGAAGTATGATTACATGTGAGTAAACATTAATATTTTTACAGTATTAATTTTAAAAATGATATCAATTAATCATATATTATTTTTTAATATTGATAAAAAATAGCCTTAATTTTGATATTCAAAATAATTCCCTTAATTTTATTTATTTTTACAAAATCTTTTTAAAACATTTTGTTTATAAATAAAATGAAAATCTTTACTTTCAAAATTTTTTTTGAATTCTCTAATATCTAAATATAATTTCAAAAAATATTTCTCCACTTAAAATCCTCGTAATAATCTTTAAAATTTAACATAATAATATTTTATAATAAATAATTATTGAGAATCCCTTGATATTTAAGTACTGAAGGATAAGAAAATATTACTAAACTTCTGGGCTTAAGCCCAAAGCAGGCCGAATTCAAATTTCCAATTTTGATGGGCTTGATGGGTCAAGCTCCAACGGGTATGGTCTAACGGGTTGGGTTAATATGTGACAGTGGCCCGGATCTGACACGATTATTTTTCTTTTCTTTTTTTGTTTCGCACTATAAAAATCAAACTTTTTTTCTCAACTCATTTTATCCTTTAAAAAAATTCATCTCGTTCAAAAACCAAACCGCTGCCCCACCCCAAGCCCAGATTTCGCTTCTCAAATCATATCACCTTCAATGCTTCTGATGGGCAAATTATAACAAGCCTTCCCAATTCATTAATGGCATTGAAATCAATTTCACGACTATGCTATGCAATGAGGATGTATATCAAAAAAAAAAAAAATTAAGATTGATTTTTTTAAAAATACTTTTCTTCTCATATATTTTTTTAATTAGTTTTGATTTTGGGAAAGTTTGAAATTAAACTCAATTCAATACTTTTTTTTTCTCCAAATTTTATGTGCAATTAAAGTTTGTTCTATTTGCGCACTGATCTATATTGCAAGCAATTCCATTAGTCATTATTGTTAGGATGATAATTGCAATTTTCATAATTTTATATAACGTTAATTAGGGACTCAACTATAGATTTTTGTAATTTAGAGACAAAATAGTAACAAGTCGAAAAAGTTAGAGGACCATTTAGGTAGTTTATCCTTTTTGTTAAATGGCACGGATAAAATTCTCGGTGTGCAAAATGATTGGATAAAGACCCATGATCTTGGTCGAATTTTGGTTCCGTTTGGACATGAATTCGGTTTGGCTTGACCTGATTAAATTATTTTATTAATACATAATATATTTATTTAATTTTAATTTATAATATTAATATAAATTATTACTTTAAATGAAAAATATATATGAATGAATGATTGGGCACAGCTCAAACTTGATTTAAAAAAAGAAATTTTGATTGCCAAGACATTTGTAATTCTCATAAATTCCGAATCAAAATCTTTAAATATAAAGTAAAATTTTAATTAAAACATTTGTGCATCCAACAAAAAAATTGTTAAATAATATGTATGCAGCAGAAATTTACTACAATATATAGGATTCAATGTAGACAGTTGAATTTATATCTAAGCTCTCACACATAAAAATATAGCTCAGATTAATTTTACACAATAAAAAAGGATTTCCCTGCAAACTTGCCTATATATGATATAAATAAACACTTGCAAATACATAAGGAGGCGTGGGACTAGCCATGACATGACTACTGCATTGCATCAAAGCGATATTGACGTAGCAAATTGTCAAATTGAAGTTATTAGTGGCTACTGGCCAAAAGAAAAAAAATTTATTAGTGGCCGGCAGCCATTCCTGGCGAAAGAGATATTTGTTTAGGTGGGTTTGGCAGCGCCAACATTGCCAACAACGCGCTGGCAGCAGCCGCAATGGACCCTAACACGAAGGCTGGCAAATTGCCGCCGCCCAATGCTGCATCCAGCGGTCCGCTAACTACAGATACAAACATCTGCCATTTCCATAACCCAAATAGTAAATCAATTCATGTATAAAACTTTACCAAATAGCGCCATGCATGCACCTATATCTTTTTTGAAAGGAATCAAATGCAAAGAAGATGATTGAGTGTGGGGAATTTTCACCTGTGGGATGACTATGGACATGTTCAGCACTCCTAGGGAGAGACCTGCCATGTTCAGAATGTCATTGAATCAGTACGTGAGAAGCCTCTCGATATAAGATTATTACCAAACCAACATGGAAGCAACAAAAAGTGACTAGACTTTACCTTGACCACCACCTGCGTTAGAACAATATATGGATGCCAAAGCAAATGGAATGCTGAATGTTACCTGCATAAACCCAGAGTTATTATAAATATACATATAGTTATTATAAAAAGAAGATAAGGAACAAACCGCAAGTGGAATGCCCAAGAGTCCAAACACCGCCAAGGCAGAGCCTTTGATGTTAACCGGAGGATGGACAAGATCGGGCCCGTTGTGTTGTCTCCAGGCCTCAGCTATCTTGGTAATCAACACCGTCGATGCCAAGCATGCGCACAAAATGAAGTTCACTATACCCCACAAGTTTTTGACACCACCAATCAAGCGGCCTACAGGCTCCAGCACCAGTGAAGTTAACCCCAAGACGATGGAGTTGATCATCAACCCCAATGCACCTGCTCTCACTCCATCACCGTAAATCTTAACTTGAAGTGGGTTGCCCTTTACCTTGCCTCCGTAAACCTCTGTCCCCATCCAGTCAGTGTCAAACAACAAGAATGGGAACCAAGCAATCCAGTTGAGGCAAGTGACAAGAAGCAAGATCCACATTGGCTTCTTCAAAGTCTTGAAAGCTGACACAATCTCCCCAACGAAAGGAGCAGGCGCTTTGGTTTCTTCCTCTTGGACTTCCTTGGTTAAGGGCTCCTCCTTCACTGTCGTAATCGCGGTTACAGTCACTAACAACAGGATCATAATGTCAATAGTGAAGCAAGACTTGAGGTTTGCACAGTAAACATCACAAGCTTTAGTCCTCGTGAAGGGGAAGATCTTATAAAGGTGTGAGTAGGAACCAGCTGCGTAACCCAAAACGTTGCCAACAGCCATGAAAAACGAGAACCAACCATTTGCAGTTCTCATTTTTTTGTGGTCATTGGCTGAGAGGTCTGCAAGAAGAGCACGACATGGACCTTGTAACATGTTGTTAGCCACATCAAGAATCCAAAACCCTACAACAAAGATAGCAACCGCTCTTGGTTTAGTGGATTTCTCCAAGGAATCACCAGCATGGTGACCCATATCTTTGGCGAAACCGATAAGGAAGACAGCAATACAGACGAAGGCAGCTCCAGCAGCAATAAAGGGTCGGCGGCGCCCAAAACGAGAAGTGCAACGGTCACTGTTGTAGCCTACAATTGGTTGAACCAGAAGGCCAGAAATGGGGCCACAAAGCCAAATGAAAGCAGCCCAGGTGTGAGGGACGCCAAGGGTTTGGACGTATGGGGTTAGAAGAGACAGCTGCAGAGCCCATCCGAACTGGATGCCGGCGGCAATGGCTGCAACTGTCACAATCTTCCTAAGCGGGCTTGGAGACTGGATGATATCTCCGTTTTCCATTTGGTTGCCAATTACACTCTACCTGTAAACTGTAATCCTCAGTACTAATAATATGAACTCTGTCTCTGTCAGATGATTAAGTTGTTGAGATCTAGAATCATGTGATAATTATCCTTTGATCGGTGCAATTACAGCACATGTACAAACTTTTTCAAAGAATATATGTGAAAATTATATATATATATATATATATATATTTAGAGATTGAAACTTCATCATCAAAATATAATTAAGATGATAATCCCTAATAAATGGTGAGACATAACCACTAATGAAGCATTTTCCGCCCATGTGTTAAAAGTTGGATAAAATTAAAAACAAAAGTGAAGAGTTTAACATTAAGTGTTTAAATTTGATTTTTGTTAAGAAAAAATAAGTTTTTGTTACTATGATGTTAACATGTGAGAGGAATGTGAATTATGAAATTTTTTTTTTAATTTAGTAAATTTAATCTTTCAACATATGTATAAAAATTAATTTTTTTTTCAAAATTTTATAGTACTTAACTTTATTTATTTTGATTTGCACCAAAAAAAATTTGTAACCATTTCGGGAATATTATTCTTAATGTCCTTCTGGGATAACCATTTTTTATTCTTGTACACGTCAAGTTTATGCTGGAGGATGATATTGATCCAATTTTATATTCCCGATTATGATTTTAGGAATAATTGAAAAGTTTTATTGATACGATAATTTAAAATATAATATAATAATATAATAAAAATTTTATACGAAAAAATATATAATTTAAAATTTTAATAATTATTGTATATAAATTTAATAAAATTAAAAAATATATTTTATATTTTTATATTAATATAAATGATAATATATAATTTTTATATAAAATATAATATAACTATATAAATTATAATATTTTATTTGATATAAATGTATGAATTATTAAATCTATATCTATCTATTATATATAAAAGAAAAAAGAAAAGCACTAAAAAGTTGTTTTTTCAATACCTAAATATAATAGTATAATTTTATAGCTATCTCTCGAGAAAGCTACTGTTTTTTTTTTTTTTTTTTTTTTTTGGGTTTAAGAAGAAAGGAAAAAGAAAAAATCCTGCCCCAAAACCAAAATTTCTATTTCTTTTAAAAAAATTTTTTTGACCACTATAGGGGAGGACGAAAGGCTGGCTCTTTACATAAAAGGAAATTAGGTACTAAGGTTAATTTGAATATGATTAGCACTCAGTAGCAAAAATACCTTTGACACCCAAAAAAATAATAAATAAAAAAGTTGTACCATATTTACATTGAGTTGTGAAATTTGTCCTTTTCATTTATTAAAGCTGGGAGAAATAAATTTAATGCAAAAGGGTAAGGTCATCAGAATAAGGTAGAGTTCGGAATTCAGACAAAGATTTTAGGGGCAAGTCAATACTTTTATAAAAAAAATATTCAAAAGATTCTTTTGTGTTTTTTTTAATGAAGAAATAAAATTGTTTTTAATCAATAAAATTTTGATTTAATAATTAAAAATTTAGAATTTTAAAATTTTAAATTCAAGTTTTATTATGTATGCATTTGAATAATTAATTAAATTATAATTAATTAATTATTAATAATATAATAATTGATTATTTTATTGATTATATAGATATAATATTTAATTATAATATTTTATAAATAAATATGTTTTTTAATATAAATATCAATTATATTTTTTTAATGTAATTAAAAAAAACAATAAAAGCTTTTTACTATTCCCAAAAACATGATAATATTTAAACTTCAATAATTGCACATGCATGTTGCTTTTGGCCGCCAAAACACCACCGAGCAATTCGGATATAACCAAGATTTTAAAATCATATTTGTTTGTTTTTTCTTTTTTCTGAAAAAAATTGCAGAGCTTTTGAGAATAAATGTTTTAATATTAAACATGAAATTTCATAAGAAATCCTTTCTTTTTCAATTTAACTATGGCACTTTTGAGAAAGACAAACTATATACACGAGACTGACAAAGTAATATTTGATAAATAATAGTATCAAATTCAAGGACGAATCTGTATGAAATAGTAAAATTAAAATTTCTTTGAATATTTTTTTATTGATAAAGTTAATAAATTCATCGATTTTTTTTATATATATATTATAAATAAATACTCTAAAAAAAATTTGGATCCGTGATACTAGATCTTTGATTACATAACTTTTTGGAAGCTTGGAAAACATACCTGCTTTTCCGGTGAGCGCTAACTCCAGCTGCACCTATAAGCTGCAATGCTTGGGGTTATCGCTTCAAATTTGACCCACTGTTCTCTCTTTTCCTGTCAAAGCTTTGTTGATGTGTGATGAGATGGAGAGGAACTGAAATTTTGGGCTGGGTTGAGAATGCTTGAAAGAAAGAATCAATATAAAGGTTTGGTTTGAACCTAGCTAGCTCAATGTCAATAAATGCTATGCTTTTATAAATGGGAAATGGATAGTTCAATCTGTCTAACTCACTTGATATTTATACCTGTTAATTTGGATGCAAAAGAAGCTATGCTGATGCTCTAGCATAGATATTAGCAGATATTATTATTATTATGGCTATAACAAATTCAAGCAATAGATTCTTTTTCTTTTTTAAATCAAATGATCAGAAAATGAATAATATATACAAACTAATATACCAAAAATAGAGATTCAAAGTTTGAAAAAAAAGAAAATGATAAAAGGAAATAATCACATTTTTAGTGTAATGAATCATTCCAGCTAGAATTTTAATCACTTGGGACAAATGCGGGTTGCAAGAGAAAGGTGTTGGCACAGATAAAGATCTCATTATTGCTTGGTTGTAGTTGCTTTGTTTGTCCTTGTTTTCCTGCTGTTTTTGTTCGATGCTATCATCTACACTGTTTGTTTATTCTGTTTTCCTTTTTTTTTTTTTCACATTTGAAATTGATAAGATTTTAAATTTTGATCACTAAAATTAAAAGTTTAATATTTTATTAACAATAAGAATCAAGAACAAGGGAAATGCTAGAGAGGGCAAGGAATATTTTCAGATGTTGTATTCGAGTACATATAGAAATAATTGTTTTTGAAATTTAATTTATTTATAAATCATGTAATTATCTTCAATTGAACACAATATTGATCAATAAATGTAGACAAATTAGCTTTGCGCAAAAAGGGTAATTATCTCCTAATTCATTAATTATTATGCCTATCTTAACTAGTTTGATAACTGATAATAGAGAAAGAATCTTGGTTTCCTTTTAGATGCATTCATTCTTTCATTCATATCATATATTACACAATTTTTGGGGGCCTAACTTCATTCTTCCCGTCTCTCTTTTTGCCATTTGGTCTTTTTGTCGTTGAGGCATAAAGTTCAAAGAATAGTAGGACCAAAAGCACCTCGGACTCCCACAATCCAATTTTCATAGGTGATTTATAAATTTTATAAGTCTTAAAAAAAAATCGTAAATCTCATTAAGAATTAATGACTTACTCTGATTTTAAAGATGAAATAATCTTGTCTGGCCTACTTATCCTGACCAAGAAAAGAAATAGTAGGACCAAAAAGAAAAGGGGTTATAGAAGACACAGGAAACATGGTTTCACGTGGGTCAATCAACCACGCCAGCCAAGAGCCGTGAGGAATGGACATCTCCCGACTAAATGGACTGTTGACTCAACTGTTTTATGCAAACTGCCAAGAGATTTTGCTAACCCAAATTCAACCCTGCCATGTTCTGCTGCTTCCACTGTATGCCATCATTTCATTTTCAAATATTCTTCAATCCACGATCTATCAGTCCAATTAATTTTCTCTTCTTTTCTAAGGGCTTCGATCGTATTTTCCTCTTGAAAAAGCACCAAGTTCTTGATAAAGTAAGGTCGGTTGCTATCTTCTTAGTTGCTTATGGAACATTGAAATTCTTGACATGATTATCTGAGTGACTTGAAGCATCTTTCTTTCCATCTTCCTTTCTATCTTTTCTGCAATTTTTTTTTTAAAATTGTTTATTTATTCTTTAATTCTTCAATCACTATCTACTTAATTCATTGAAAAAAAAAATTGCGCATTTAAATTATAACCTCTAAAAATCTTATTAACATACATGGCATTTGAGTTAATACTGAATTAACAAATTTTTTGTTTTTTGGTTTTTGGAGCATCTACTTATCTTAATTATCTTAACCTAACTCTTTAATGGGATCATATATGATTTTATATGGGATCATAATTGTCTTAACATAACTCTTTACTGCCTTGATTTGGAAATTTTAAACATAAAATTCTCAAATTTAGCTAACACGACATTGTCTTAAAGACAAGGACAATGTTTTTGTGATCCAAACATTTTCAGTTAATTCAATGTTTTTGTTCAAGGATGTTTAATTATGCAATAGTTTATATCTCATATTAAGAGTTGTTATATATATGTAATAGTTCATTGAAAATGAAAGATCACTTTAGATAAAGTTGTTTCTTTAATTAGAATTAATCTTAAAGGACATTATCTACTATTCTTGATCACAAATTGCAGTTAAGATCATCAATTAAGAAATGCCACAATTTAGATAAAATATCATATTCGTAAGATTCTCTAATAAAAATAAATTAATATTATAAATTTAGCATCTATAACAATTTGATTTAATATATATTTTATTTTAAAATTTTTAATTTGTAAATGATATTTAAGATTTGATAAATCTGATAATTTAAAATATGATATTATAAAATAATATAAATACGATACAAAAATAAAACATATAAATGATATGACTTAAAATTTTAATAATAATTATATAGAATTTAACAAAACAAAAGAAAAATTTTATATTTTCACGTCAATACGATTATAATATATAAATTTTATATAAAACATAATATAAATATATTAACTTAATTTTTTTTTTCATAATACAAAAATACGAATAGCTAAATTTATGATTTGGTTGTCAATTGCTGCAGTGTTTTTTCTTCACATGTTAGGAGAATTTGTAATAGGCTTGCTTATGTAGACTGTTAGGTCGGCAGTCAAAGAATTGGATGAGGAGTTCTACCGTATATTTGATCTCTTTGGATGCGTGATGAAAGGAATTTTTATCGTGAATGTTATTTTGTGATTAAATTCTTAATGCGACACTCCCAATGCGACGAGAACCCTCCCATTACGTATCTAAATGAAATGATTTTTTTTAAAAAAAATTTCAAATTAAAAATGCAAGAAAAAAAACATAAAAATTAAAAACTCATCAAATTGACGAGCGACAAAAATGTTACGTATATCTAAACCAACGGATAGTGCAATCATCTGCCACAACCAACACCGAATCAAAGCAGAGAGTCAAAATCATGACTCCTAAAAGTCATTACCGCAATCTACCAAATTTGAACAAAGAAACCGACACACACCACTTGAGTCTTGAATAAATATGGATTCATATAGAGCACCCCAACTCTCAACAATGAAAGCCAAAACCCAAGTTTAATCCCCTTCTTGCAAGAGAGCTAATAAACATAATCATCTTTGAGGAAAGGGTCTTTAATTCGTTTTATGAGATTATATATATTTATTTATTTGAGGTCGTTCGTGATTGAGTTTTAATTATTAGAAGTAAAATTTTAACATTTTATTAATGAAAATTACATTTTTATAACCACCGAAGAAATTAAACAACTCCCAATATATATGAGAAAATGTATTCAGTAACAAGAGAAATTGATTAATAAATATGTTCAAATCAAACAAATATATAATCAAAATAAGACCAACATAAAATTAGATTAAATACACATGAAAGCTGTAATTGAAATTAGGCGTCATTATTTTTATAAAAACTAGGCTTCGTCATTGGATTCTTGTTTGATCAATATTAAAATCATCACAATCAATAGTATTTCTTAACGGGACAAAATCAATGAAAGATTACCCTAAAACTCCAATCACGGACTATTAACAAATTTATTATTAATAGCACAGAATAAAACAACCTTGGAGTCCGACTCCAAAATAAATTTTGCATTTTTTCCCATGTGAGAATCAGGCAAGTGGGAAATTTATAGCTGTCAAATCAGCATACATAATTGCGAAATTTTGATAACTAATTGAAAATTGAGGTTACCTTTTTTCTTTAAAAAAAAAAGATATCAAAACTTTCAATTTCTCACAATTGCTTTTATGAACATTTGAATTTTATTTAAAACATATATATATATATATATATGTCAATAATTTTTAGACATTATTTATACTCTCATGCAACCACAAAACTTTTTAGGATAACTGAATACACTTGTCTTTTTTATTTTTTGAGATAATCATTTTGAGCCCCGATTAATTTGAAATTAAGTCAGATTAGATCCCATAAGGGAGGCAAGTTCTCCCAAGCCTATTTTTTCCATTCATAAGATTTGAAATCGAAACATTACTTAAAAGGAAACTAAACTCTTTGTCATTCGAATCAACATGCATTGGTAAATCCGATTTGATTGACAAAAATATTTATTATAATATATATTTTTAGTTGATTTTAATTATAAAATATTTTTTAAAATATTAATAAAATAATTTTATTATTCGAATAATAGATTTAAATTAAACTAAAATAACATAAATATTTAAATCTAATTGAAATTTGTAAAACTTTGAGCGCTAGTCCGTTTAAAATGTTATATATATATAAGTATATTACTTATGTTTTTTAATCATTTTAATAAAAAAATTTATAAACTTAATCTAAGAAACTTAGTTGAAGTCATATGCTTCTTATACATCTATATGGAACATCATAATCAATCAACAAATTTCAACAATCATTAATCACACAATATCATTATCTCCCCCTTGACATGCTTAAGCTCATCAATATTTTGATGCCTAGCTAGAAGATAATCAAGAATCTATTTTCCACTTAACATGACTTAATAGATAAGAAAAGCACTTTGGTTTTTTTTATTTATTTTTATTTTATTTTGGGTAATCACATTTTTTGGATGCCCATGGTCTCCACTAGTTTCGTTATAATTAATTGAAAATGTATTATTGGAAGGAATATTAGGCCCATACAAAGGCAATATGATTTCAAAGTAGACCCTCTTCTTTTTATTATTTTTTTTTATGTCATATTGTTTGCCTGCCCAAGCATATAGTCATACACTATTGAGGTGGCAAAGATTATCTGCTTTAGAGCATAAGATTAATTAATTCAGTGAATTTATATCATTATTTTTAAGAAGTAATAGCTAATAAATTTAAAATTTGAATCTTAGGGTTTATTATCTCTTCTCGATTTCTCCTACTTTAAATTGCGACGTTTTTTATCAATAATAATAAAAAAATTATCTGTCTTGTCTTTAGCTTGGTTAGAAGATTGATACAAACTGTTCTTTATGTTGCAAGAGATTGCTGCCTTGGACTTGGAGGCAAGATGTAGAGAATTGGTAAGAAAGAGGGGATAGACTTTTCTTTTTATCTTTTTACGAGGATTGATAAAAGCATTTAAGATCGATCCCTAAGACATCTTAAGTAAGATGCTGGGATGAAAAGGCAAAGGAAATAGCACATGCTCTCCCAATACGAAAAGA